CCCCTTCCCTTTTCAGCACCTTTTTCAGAAGCACAACAACAGGTTCCCGGAGAACACTCAAGCCGGGTATGTCCTTCTCTCCCGCCCCCCTATTTCTCTCTCCGTCCAGCTTACTCCTCTCTCTCTCTCTTCTCTCGCTCTTCTCTCTCTCTCTCTCTCTCTCTCTCTCTCTCGCTCTCTCTCTCTATCTCTCTCTCTCTCTCTCTTCTCTCCCTCCTCCCTCCCTCCCTCTCTCCCTCTCTCCTCTTCCCTCTTTCCCTCTTTCCCTCCCTCTCCCCCTCCCTCCCTCCCTCCCTCCTCCCTCCCCTTCTCTCTCTCTCTCTCTCTCTCGCATCTCTACTATCTATCTATCTATCTATCTAGCTATCTATCTATCTATCTATCTATCTATTCTATCTATCTTATCTATCTTGATCTAGAGTCTATCTATCTATTCTATCTCCATCTATCTAGTCTATCTATCTATCTATCTATCTATCCCTCCCTCTTGCTTTCTTTCTTTCTCTTTCTCTCTCTCTCTCTCTCTCTCTCTCTCTCTCTCTCACTCGCTCGATTCCGTTCGAACTTGTTCGCTCCTGCTATATATTTATAGATGGATACGCCGAGAACGTATAGGCCTAGCCGCAGTACACGTATATAGTCAAGGTGATCGACATCGACCCCCGCTGTGGCCAGCCAGTCAGCATCCCCTGGATCGGAAATTCAGCTCCTGTCAGGCCGCATGGCCGGAAACATTCGCTTGTATCTGTCCGTCAATGCTGCGCCGCGATGGCTTCAGTTACGCAACGCCGCTTACAATATCCAGCATCGTATACTATTACTAATTAGCTATTTTTACACAAAGGAGAGATAGTGATCCGCTAGAGGGCGCGTTAAGCGACAATAAAAACGGCTCTGATTGGCTAATTTTGTCTTTATTATATTGTTATGTTTATTATTTTTGGCTAATTTTGTTAATTAGAATTAGGATAGGTTAGGGTTAAGCGGTTAGGGTTAGGTTTAAAGGATTAGGTTAGGGGTTTGGGTTAGGGTTACTGTTCTATATCCACAACTTATTTCTATATTCACTATCTCTCCCCTGAGACCTACTACTACCTATATACCACCCACTACCTCACACAGGCACAGACAGGCACGGGCAAGCACGCACACCCACACGCGCGCACGCACATACACAGACAGGCACGGGCAAGCACGCGCACCCACACACGCGCACGCACACCTACATACACAAGCGCCACACGCGGGCGTACATCCACACGAACTCACACGAAGAGATACCGTACACATTGACCGCGATCACGCACGCACGTTACGGCGAACGTCCCCTCCACGCACGCGTACGCACGCCACGCACGCACGTACACGCACACATACATGCACGCACGCACGCACGCACGCACATACAGACAGACAGACAGACAAACTAACCAGTTCGTTGCTTCTTTCAAAACCTTCAAAGCTTCTTTCCTCACCCTCACCCTCACCTTCACGTTCACCCGCACCCTCACCTCACCCCACCACCCTCACCCACACCCACCCTCTCCACACTCCCACTCCCACTTCCCACTCCCACTCCCACTCCACTCACACTCCACTCACACTCACACTCACACTCACACTCACACTCCACACTCTACACTCACACTCACACTGCACAACTCACGCCTCACCGGCTCACCCTCGACCCTCACCCTCACCCTCACCCTCACCTCACCTCACCCTCACCCTCACCTCACCTCACACCTCACCTCACATTCACCCTCACCCTCACCCTCACCCTCACTCCTCACCCTCACACTCACCTTCACACTCACCCTCACCCTCACTCTCACCCCTCACCCTCACTCCCCACCCTCATCTCACCCCCACCCTCACCACTAACCCTCACACTCAGTCCTCACCTCACCTTCACCCTCACACCACCCTCACCCTCACTCTGCACTCCGCCACCCTCACTCTCACTCCCCACCCTCCTCTCACCCCCACCTCACTCTCAACCCCCCCCCACACTCACACTCACCTCTCACCCCCACCCTCAACATCCGTCGCTTTTATGAATTATTTGACGTTTAGACGCATTACCAGAGCGAAGTTCATTTTCTGCTGTACGGCGTGTCACGGGCGGCACTAGCCGCCCACTATCGATTTTAGCGCAAATCGGGGAGGCGTTAAAGGTTGGCCTAGGGAGGCTTAAGTTTTGGCTCGGTGAGCTTGTAAGTTTGGCTGCGGAAAAAAAGGGGGGGGGGAAACATTTTGGCCCGATTCGAATTTTGATCTGGGAAGCGGAGCGGGTCGATATAAGTGTGCGAGGGGCTTACGACGCGACTCGGATAGTGTGCGTGGGCCATCCGACCGCCGCCGGCGCTGAAGAAAATTGACCAATCACAGAGCAGCGCCATGGGAACCGCATTCGGGCGTAAAAATGGCCGGCGAAAACACTCCCGACCCTTAATACACGCTAAATCGCTTGGAACGCCACGAGATGCCATGGTGTAGGAAATGCTTATCCCCCGGACATGGAGGGACGAGTGCCGCAAGTCGGCAGCACTTAGTGTTAGGGATTAGGGTTGAGATTCGGGTTAGGCGTTAGGGTTTAGGGTGGTAGGATTAGGGTTATAGGTTAGGGTTAGGGTTCAGGGTTAGGGTTTGAGGGTGTAGGCAGTTAGGGTTTCTTGTATCATGATATCTGCTCCCCACACGCATAGTATTAATTTTTGTGGATGACACCCCTACGATATAGATAATCCGTATATAGATTTTAGTGTTAATTAAAGGTTAGTTGTTGCGAGCTTCGGTTCTATGGTTACCTGTTAGTTTTAAGTTATACGTGCAACTGTATCACTGCTGACCGCCCTCACGCCCGGGGATAGGCAACACCCCATGTGTTTGCGTCAACTTTGAGTCGTAACAGTGTCGGGGGCCTCCCGATCGATCCGGGAGCGCGGTTCGCTATCAGTAGTGTGGGGGGCGTTCGTACTGCTGCCCACAGTGGCAAACTCGTATAGTGTGCGGCTAGCATAACACATGACGTCGTCTCGCTGGAGACCGACTGCGCGTCATTAGATACTAGAATACCTCTCATCTCGCCAGTCCATTTACCGTAACCAGATACAATAATTATTTGCCCGGGGATTCTGTGACTCTGATTACTAGGTGTGCCAGTCACAGATATTGACTTCATTGCGCTCTGGTGCGAGAATCCGTGGTGTGCGTGCCCGCGTGCGTGTACGCGTGCATGTACGCGTGTGTGTACGCGTGCATGTACGCGTGTGTGTACGCGTGCGTGTACGCCTGTGTGTACGCGTGCGTGTACGCGTGCATGTACGCGTGTGTGTACGCGTGCATGTACGCGTGGCACGTGTACGTTGCATCGTACGCGTGCGTGTACGTGTGCATGTACGTCGCGCCTGTGTGTACGTGTGCATGTACGCGTGTGTGTAGGTTCCCACGAGTACATGAATTCGTGTGATGTGCGTTGTGAAGTGCGTGTACTGTGTTGCGAACGCTGTGTGCTGTGTGTGTGGTGGTGTGTGGTGTGTGTGTGTGTGTGCTGTGTGCCGTTGTGTGTTCGTGGCCCCTGTGCGTGCGTGTAAGCGTGTGTGCGTGCGTGCGCGTGTGTGGGTGGGTGAGTGCGTGTGTGTGTGCGTGTGTGGGTGAGTGCGTGTGTGTGTGTGCGTGGGTGGGTGAGCGCGTGCGTGCGTGTGCGTGCGTGCGTGCGCGTGTGTGGGTGGGTGAGTGCGTGTGTGTGTGCGTGCGTGCGTGCGTGCGCGTGCGTGCGTGCGTGCGCGTGCGCGTGGGTGGGTGAGTGCGTGTGTGTGTGCGCCACTCTTTCGATATGTCATCCGATCAGACTTTGCACTTAGCCACCGGTTGGTTATTGCTGCCGGCACTGCACCTGCTTTGACGGGAGATGGGCGGGTGGGGGTGGGCCTTTAGATTTATACCTAAAGTGGTATTCAGTGCCGACTCACCCACCACGCCAAACAAATCGTACGCAGGCGCCGTGGTAGCGATATTTGTTCCGTTATGGAGTCGTAAACCTCAAATAAAATCCGAGACTGAACAAATATTGTGAACAAGATCGACAAAGATACATTCGAATTCGACGTCACTTTGATGTGACGGGTTTGCGCGTAATAAATCATTGATAACGCCGCGAGTCGAGCAAACGTAACGTATTTGGTGACACCACACTCCTTACGTGTATGAATCGACGCCTGATGTTGTTATGCTCTCATTCTCTGCATTCGCGTTGTAAATTTTAATCCGGTTATAAATCAACCACACCAGCCATCTACTACGACGTACGTAGTTGATTCTGTCGCGCTCGTTGTTGTTGTTCTAATATACGTAGGCGTCGCTCGCTCTATCGTTATCTGAGTACACCCGAGGACGACCTTCCAACGCACACTACTCAACCAGAGCAAACACTCGACATACAGGGGGCGCATGCAGCGGGGATAGCGGCACACCCCGTCCGCCCATTCTGACTGCAGGACTTCTGTTTGGTCGTTGCAGTATGTGACAAACGCTCTTGAAAATATTGATAGCGGCCCAGTGGACACGCGTCTACTACACACACGCGTGCGCTTACAGAAGCCAATGGAGCAAAGTATGCCCGAGCAACGCAGATGGGGTCGTTGTCGTATCAGGTACTACAGATATGTACCCGAGGTAGTTTTAGGTTGTTTAGTATTATGTTTATATTTTTAAATGAGGTATGTTTAGGGTTAGGGTTAGGGTTAGGGTTAGGGTTAGGGTTAGGGTTAGGGTTAGGGTTAGGGTTAGGGTTAGGGTTAGGGTTAGGGTTAGGGTTAGTCAGAAATAGCTAAACAAGCCAGGTCAAAGAGAGGTCAGCGGGACATAGACCCTACGAGCGTATAACTTACAGTTAGCTCGGTGTCTTTACAGAATGGAGGCAGTTCAGGTTCTCGCGACCAGGACGGTCTCGGCTGGGGTCGAGCGCACACTTGCAGCACAGCATTGCCCTCTACAGGCTTGCCATACGTGTACCTTATTGACAAAAAATTTGTTTGTAGGTATGACACTGACCAATTAGTTATTTGCTTTTTTCATTTTTTCCCTCGCCCTTTTTAATTTGTTAATTCATCATTTTTTATATCATGCCGTGAGTTTGGCGATTATTGATATATTCCCAGATATTACTTAATTACATAGAAACATTCTCTGTTGCTGCTACCTAACCAATATTATATCACATGCAATACAGTGGACCATGGTTGCGCGTATGCTCCCCAAGTCCATTTCACATATTTCGCTGAGAGTAGAGCATCACCTGGTGTAGATGAATCAACTTACTTTGCACAGACAATACCAGAGACGCTCTTCGCACCGCGCATGACTGTGCGCGACGACGGCGTCACCGTCACCTCGTACTTCGGCAAAACTGAATAACGATAAACATAATTACTATATGAGATAAGCACAGTTCATGATCAAGTCACACTAGACTAGTAAGGTATATGGGATGATGCTCGAGAGCGATCTATGGTAAGGTACTTGGGAGGGAGCTACGATAGGATATATTAGGTGGAAGCTATGGGAAAACACTTGGAATGGAGCCATCACCATCCGTGGAAGCTATGGGAAAACACTTGGAATGGAGCCAT